CAATATATCGAGGATCGTCTGATCTAATTTGACTAGCGATTGCAGGGGTTGCTGAGCACGGCGTTCCCACTCGTGATCTGGTGAGGATGCATGACCGAGTGCCTTCAGCTAAGTGAGTCCATTAAAACTAATATGGTCAGCATCCAATGACGAAAACTTACAGAGCTATTTATTTTGGGGATTTATTTACCGCTACAATATGTCAGGGTACGGTTATAGAGGTAAATTGATGGGTATCGAAACGTGCTGATGATTGTTTCTGAATAGATTTAGAGCATGAAACTTAGGAAATAATCATGAAAAGAAACTAAATTGCCGAAATGAGTTACTGATTGGTCTCTGTAACACTATTTCGCACTAAGAACCACTGTTTCTAAGTATAATTCTCATTCATAGGCTCACTCAACGTAATACGTTAAAATGTCTATTATTATGGGGTTTGTAAAGATTGACAAATTGTAGAGCCTTATCACAGGATGAACCAAGTCAAACAAACACTGAAAACCAGGAGACATTTTGCAGTTTTACGTCCTTCATTGGGACTCGTAGGTACTGCGCACCCACAACCTCATAGTGAATTTCATGGTATGCCTATCTAACATCAGTAAGCTCTCAATATGATGATACCAATGTTGTAGGATGAATTGGGTATACTGCGAATCCATCGATTTGAAATATGCAAACCACTAAAAGCAAATTTCTGAGTTCGGACCCCTATAGGGATTGTGGGTTTTTACTGTAGAGAAGTCCCATAAAAAGAGATAAATAAGCTGTTTAGTTACTCTTGATTTTCGAGAGTCGTTTAACTAAGTTTGGTCTGCGCTATTAGGCATAAAACCATTCAGTTAACTATGTAAAAAGATTATTCGCATTTGCCTTTATCGAATTATATGATTCTGGCCGAATGAAGAGATACTAATCTTAATTCTTATTTTAAACTAAATAAATTTTGTCGCACAAAGACTGGTTCAATTCTTTAGCATTGTGTACCTCATGTATAACTTTCATAAGTGATATATGAATGATTAAGTTGAGTGCAAGAAAATAGGAGACTTCAAGCACTCTATGCTTGATCGGTAGGCTGTGTTTCATTTATTACTGATTCGAAACAACTAAACAATTTCTCTTACTCATCAGGCATCAGGCTATATATATATATATATATATATATATTTTCCTTTAATATAATATCATTAACTCCGAGGACTATTATGGTAATTAGAAATATTCGAATCAATGTGCTAACTAAGAATTCCGAAATAAAGCAATTTGAACCAAGTAGAAGTAGGTGAGCTCAAACTAATGTATTATATTTGGAATTCCTAATGAACGGGCAATCCAGTACAAAGGAATGATCGGTTAGTACAAATAACACAAATATTTTCATGAGTTTTTAAAAAATGATCTTTTTCGGGGTGCACTTACAACTGATCAAATAAGCGTTTTTCTAGTTTTACTTTCATTATGTTATACTTAGGCATTCAAGCAAATGTCGCGATCATATATAGTCCAAGTATTGAAAAATAAATATAAAACTGTCCCTTGATCATCTAGAGCTAATGATATCTTTGTCACTTTTACCAATAGTTGCTTGTTTATCGTTTCTGTGTACAATAATTGTGATATACTTTTAGATATATGTGAAACGTTTATTCTTTTCAGGGCAAAATATAGAAAACAATTAATTCACTTTCGAATAATTAATTATATTAAGCGGCAGCTATTGTGTGAAATGATAAAATCAGTAAATTCGTTTTTGTGTACAATTCATAACTAATAAACCCATATGAGTGAAAACTCACTATTGGTAGTTAATATTCTCTAGAAATGTAACATGACAATAATTTGACCAATTTTTATATGCATAGAATATTCTCCTGTCTAATTATATGGGTCTATATAAACAATCAGTGACACGAAAGGATATGTTGTGGGATTATCATTCCCAAACATTAGTTAATGGGACCAAGTTGAAATTGTCACTCAACTATAATTGAGCTCTATATTTCTTTAGAGTTGTTACTAACCTATTTCAAACAACCAGCATTATTAAAGTGGGCATATATATACCTAAAATCTGGACATGTACTGGGTCTTTCATTCAGTTCAGTAATACTCTGTTAAAAACGTTTCCTGGTACTGGCAGTAGTGTGATGGCCTCTGTATTTTTCACATTAGCTCAGATCTCTTTTCTTTGGAATCTTGATGAGATGTCCTTCTTTCCAGTCCATTGGCACTTGCTTTTCCTCCCAAATCTTCTTGAATAGAAGGTGAAGCATGTTTGTAGTTACCTCGATGTCCGACTTCAGTGCTTCAGCTGGTATACTGTCAGGTCCTGCTGCTTTCCCGCTCTTGATTTGTCTGATGGCCATCCTGATTTCTCCGGTTATTGGTGGAATGACATCTATAGGAAGGTCTGTGTACGCTGCTTCGATGTCGGGTGGATTCAGTGGAACTGGTCTATTCAAGAGTTCCTCAAAGTATTCTACCTATCTGTTCTTCTGTTCTTGAATTTCAGTGATTGGCTTGCCTTCTTTGTCCTTGACCAGTCTCTCTGGTTTACTATATTTCCCTTCTAGTTTCTTCGTTGTATCATGAAGCTGTTTCATATTTCCTTCTCTAGCAGCTTTTTCCGCCGTCGTTGCTAGTTCTTCCACGTATTTTTTCTTGTCGGCTCTAATGCTTTTCTTCACTTGCTTGTTTGCTTCTATGTATTCAGCTTGTGCTTGAACTTTCTCTGCTCGTGTTTGGCTGTTGTTAATACCTGCCTTCTTGTTCTTCCTTTCTTTGATCCTGTCCAGTGTTTCTATAGATATCCATTCCTTATGATGGTGCTTGTTGCGACCCAGAACCTCTTGACACGTTGAAGTCAATGCTTCTTTGATGCTTTTCCAGTTGTCCTCCATAGTAGTTTCTTCTTCCTTCAGTAGATCCTGTAAGGCTTGTAACCTGTTGTTGAGAGCTATCTTGAATTCGTTGAGTTTGTCAGTATCTCGAAGGAAGGTTGTATTGAACCTTTGTAGTGCTGTTTGTCCAGTTGTCCAGTTCTTTTTTAGATTCAGTTTTAAATTGGCCACAACTAGGTGGTGATCTGAAGCTATATCATCTCCTCTCCTGGTTCTCACGTCTTCCATTGTTCTCTGTGATGTGATCCGGTGAGATCCATGTAACTTTGTGTATACATTTGTGTGGGAATATTGCGCCGCCTTTGACCAATTTGTTGAATGCACACAGATTTGCAAATCTTTCCCCATTTTCGTTTCTCTCTCCCAGTCCATGTCGTCCCATAATATCTTCATATCCGGTGTTGTCTATTCCGACTTTGGCATTTAGATCTCCCATCAGAATGGTGAGGTCCTTTCTTGGGCACTTCTCTATGATTGACTGCAGCCGCTCGTAGAATTGATCTTTAATGTCGTCGTTGCTATCATTAGTGGGTGCATAACATTGGATAATATTCATTGAGATCCCCTCCTTCTTTGTTTTGAATGATGCTTTGATGATTCTGGATCCGTGAGACTCCCATCCTACAAGTGCGTTTCGTGCTACTTTGGACAGCATTGGAGCGACTCCCTGAGTGTGTGGAGCATTTTCCTCTTCGTGACCGGAGTATAGCAGCATCTCTCCCGTAGCTAGCCTTTGTTGCCCAGCTTGGGTCCAGTGGGTTTCGCTGACTCCCAGTACTGTCAAGTTGCATCTCCTCATTTCCGTTGTTATTTGACTGGTCTTCCCGGTTTCCTACATTGTTCGAACGTTCCATATACCTATAAAAATTTTTGCTCTGGTTGTTAGAAGGGGCATCGGCCTCGTGACTTCCGAAGGAACTCGGCTTTCACTATGAGGCGTCATAGTTCTTCTAAATGAAGACCTTCTAACTCCCAGGGCAGAGTTTAAATGGTCTGAATAATTTTTTCTGGTTAGCGTTTTTTAGCGAGTTAGTTTTCTACGGGATGGGGTAGCTACTATTTTATCCGGGATTGGGACCGGCAGTAAATCGGGAAGAGTTACAGGCGGAGTTGTTTAGTGGGAACACTTGTATAATTTAAGGAAAATTTAGAATTACTGAATGATTGTTTTTCCAACAAATTTATGACTTCTATTAAAACAACAAATTTCTATAATGTAATAAGAAGACGAAATATATCAAAGGGATTAATTGTTTTAAAAAACAATAAATAAAGGAAATTAAGATAAGAGTTTATCTTTACAATCTAGTCACTAAATATTTGAACTACATCATCATGTTTACTTATTGCTCATAATTCCTCACGGAATTAGGCTTTAGTATCTGATATACACAAGTATATTTTTACGGCTCGACAGTAAATCCGACAAAGAGACATTTCGTAGTTCAATTTCGCGTTTTTATAATTATCATTAATAGTGTTAACGTTAATTGGTATTCATACTAATTTCTCCTAGGCAAACCATGTTCATTTCCGGTATTAAAAAATGAAACGATATAAAACAACAAATACTTCAATACTAACAAACAAATATATTAACAAACCAGAAAATTCCCTTTCATCCATTCCAACAATAAATATAAATCGGCATGGAATATTTCACAGGTGAATTCAATGTTGATTTGGATGGTGATGATGAAAAGGAGAAGGAAGATACTGTGGTGGTGATGATAACTAATATGGGGAGAAAACAAATTAGTACACATAACTGAAATTATATAGTAAAAGGAAATTAAATTGGATGAAATTAAATATTGATGCAGAAGCCAATTACGCGACTATTTAACCAAAGTAATTAACCAATGGGAAAACAACATATTTATGAATGTATCTCATCTAGTAAGAATTTCATCCCAATGATTAATATCAAAAGAGACGAAAAGTATCATTGTAGTAAGGAAAGAATAAACTTGAGAATAAGCTGTAGTTGGTATATATATATATCCATTCTCAGTGGATTAGATGGTAGACGATAAATTCGTTTTGAAATTATTTACTTATTATTATAATTAGTATTCAGGTTAATAAGAAATTATGTCCGGATTTTCAGTAGCAGATTTAATAAAACCAACATTAGAATCACTGAATTCATCTGAAGAAAAATTATTCATTAAAGAAACAATGAAAAGAAATATAGATGAAAAGAATAGTTTTCAACTTATCAATACTAACATTATAAACAGTGATAATAATGACCGGTCAGTTATGGTTGTTCCATTGAACTCATTCGAAGAACATAAAAATATAATACGCAGAATAAATTCAACAAGGAATGATATTGTTAAGAAAAGTCGGATTGAAAATAATTACATTTCTAAGCTATCTAATCAAAGTAGTGAGAATTTAGTTTCGGATTCAGAAATTACATTGAATTCACTACAATCTACTTCGCAGATAAAGTTTGATGTAAATAATGCCAGTGATATTGGTAGTAATAATAATAATAATACTGATATAATTTCAGAATCATCTCCAACTATATCTGCACAATCCTTTAATTCTGTTAACAATTTATCAAAGGAGGAAATGACTATTCAGTCAATAAATAAAACAAATTCGGACGCATCAGTATTTTCAGGGTCATCTCAGACAATCATCTCGAATGATTTTAATTTATTTCCAACTACCATTTCTTCGTCGTCTCCTTTATCTTCTGTTACAAATTCTCCTTCTTTTGGGTCTAATACAGAAGAACAGTTACAAATATTATTAAAATTACATAACTTATTCGGAATAACCAGTCCAAATAAATCCATGCCAAACAATATAAATTTAACAAATTTAAATTCCGTAGACAATAATTTGAATGATCAACCTTTTTTCAATAATATTTTGCCAAACCCAACCCAAAATTCACTGGGACAAAGTAATCCGAATATATCACTGAATTCGTATCATGAAACGATTGTACCATTTAATTCATCATACATAATGTCTATAATGATTAATAATATTTTAAATAAAGAACAACTAGAAGAATTAAATTCTTCAACTCCATCCTCTTCTTTATATCAACCTTATTTAAATTATCTACATCATCAAAATTATCTTGAACAACAGCTGCCTCTGCAAAAACATCAACAACAACAACAACAGTTATATCATCAACAATCGACTGAATTGAATTCACAACTAACAGCAGTAAACCGAGATCGTTTGATAGTCAATTTTTTGAAATCACGTTTTATGTTAGACAATAATTGTGGACAAAATGTTTTTCAAGATTTAAATGAACTAGCTAAACTTGATCATTCAAATATATCATTAAATAATTATGGTAAGTTAAATGAATAGTGTATTTTATTTCAGTTAATATATATTAGAATTGGTGATGTTGAACAAATCTATAAACTAAATTATCTAGAGCATATGAACCAATTATTTCAATAAAACACTATAAAACGCAAGCCATTTCTTAAATAACAACAAGAAAGACTTAAGTTTCTATTTAAAATATCATTGAAAAATATCTGTTAAGGTTTGAGACAGTTCTATCGAGTATAAAATGTAATTGTAAGTAATAAACAAAAAACTATGAATCAATATATACCTATTATTATGTACTATTCATTCCTAATAAGCATCTGGAATATTGGATAAGTGTATATACACTTTTTATTTGTTTCTTTCGAAAATTTCAACCTAAAACCAATGATCACTAAATCAATCATTAAAGATAGTTGTTATTGTTTTGAGTACAAAATCGAAAATCTAAATCAAGAAGTTGATATATATATATTTTTTAAAATTTCATCTGTATACAACAACTTTAGATAATTATAATTTGGAAATCATTAATGATCAGCATATCGATAAGTGATTATCACAAGTTGAAACTTCAAGTTTTAATTCCAATGTCCAATTAATACTGAGGAATTGTCAATTGTAATGAGAGTAGAAAACAAAGTTATTGGTTATGTAAAAAAAGTTTGTAATTTCTCCCGCAAACCAAAAAATATCCTATGAATAAGTAAACAATTTACTAGTTTCAGACGCTCTACCATTGTTTACATCTTATCTTGAATAGGAATCAAATTCAAAATGTTAATCTTTTTACAAGTTAATATTGTTTTTTTTAGGGAGATGAATGGTCAAAATCAATTTAGATTATCACTTCATTGAATGGATACTTGAAAAAATCTCAACTTTTCGTCTACACATTGAAATATCAAACCCAAAATTTATTTCAATAGTTGAGATCATGAGTGAATTCAAGCTAGACCACTATGAAAAACCTGGAAGCACTGGACGGTCGTTTCGTCCTATTGTAGGACTCTTCAATAGTGCTCATCCATGATACCTCCTAGCGAGATTCGAACCTAGGATCTCAAATATTGAAATCACTATAATATCCACAAAACCCCTTCTGATATTAAACAAAAATAATTGATAAAAAGGAGTTTATTATTATTTTATTTGATTGATTTTTTTTTAAATAACTTATTTAAGAACAGTCTTTATCATGGTAACTCATTAAAATGTACTTTCTTAAAAATAAAGACAAAAACATAGTAAACTTTGGGTGATATCAAGCATTATAGAGAGAAAATGTTCATTATTTAGGAGTCATAAATTATGTCATGAATTATCATGATGCTTACTAACTTTTAACAATTTTCTAAATTATGTAAGATTATGATGAAAATAGACCAAAAATTATCTTTGATTTACTGTTAACATAAATGATACCATACAATTCATGTAATGAAATAACACTATGATTGATAGTTTTAGTCATTATTCAAAATATATTCGTTTATATGATTGGGAGTTATTAACATTATTATTAATAAACCTAAATTCATTTATTGTTTTACTTGTATCTACTTATTGTTATTTAGGACTGTAATTGATTAGTCTCTTGTTGGCATATGTGCATCCTGTGAGGATTGTCTGGAAATGGCATAAAGTCACAAGTTTTTTAAGCAAAGATGGATAATTGCTAGTAGTAGTTATTGTCTGTTATTTATTTCGTCTTGAGACTTTGTAGGGAGTCCCATAGTAGGACGAAACGGCCATTCAGTGCTTCCAGGTTTTCAATGATGGTCTAAATTTAATTGACTCATGAATTTAACCATTAAATTATTAAAATTTCCCTTAAACCCCCTTCCGACTTTGTGATTTGCCTTTCTAGTTATACTGAAGATTATATACATGTATTCTTCACTTCATAAGTGACTATTTTACCAATTTATTTATATTTATGGTTGACTAAAGCATAAAGACTAATATCAAAGCATATGTAAATGGATTGTTATATATATATATATATATATATATATATATATATATATATATATATATATATATATATATAATTAAATAGACTCATTAAATAAAGAAACAGTACTGAAGCGAAAGATTTATCACCACTAATCTCGGAATTTACAATATGAATTGATTGTAACTAAAAATCGTTAAAGACTAGAAAACATTGAATAGCTGTTTGTTCCAGTACGAAATTCATCAACAACGCACATCCGTTACCTTGCCTTTGGTGAAATCTAGTACATTCAAGCCTTAAGATTAGCAATTAACTTATAGACCACTGAGTTGGCAAGCAATAGTTTGTATTTCTGAAAATAGTCACTATTGCAATATTGTATAACTATTATTTAATCTGACAAGATATAAAGACAAAACTACGTCTACAACTCATTAAGATTTTTATACAACATTATTTTTGTTTCCAATTAAATGTGGTGATTACTCACTGCAATATTTGCTAGAATTTTAACACGACATTGGTTTTATATCAGTATGATATTCATTCAGAACAGTATTCTTTGGGTTAATTTGTCATGAGGTTCATTCAATATGATATGTAACTTGAGTTCCTGTACTAATTCAGTGAATTCCTCCAGTGTGATGACTGTTGACTAATCAAATGTGTATAAAACCAATATAGGTTCGAATAATTTTTTTCTGGTTAGCGTTTTTTTAGCGAGTTAGTTTTCTACGGGATGGGGTCACTAACCCAATGCCCAACCCTCCTCCTCTATCTGGGCTTGGGACCGGCAGTAGCCCCCGGAGGGACTCCAGGCGGAGTAACAAAACCAATATATAAATGTATATATGCATTTGTCATTCCGATTTATTTTGGAGAATAACATTAAAACACTTGTCGTTTGGATCTATCATTTAGACCAGAAGCTCACCAATAAACAGTTTCTCAATCCTCCATCCTTTTCCTCAAGCATGTCTCCTAATAATGTTAATAATTTTTAAATGATATAATAAGTTATCAGTGTTTTAAGATGGATATGAAGGTCAACAATCTGATTGATTAATTACTTGATCATTAGTTTAAATTCAAGTATGAACGTAGTTGTAGCCAACCGACTATATTTTTACACATTTGTGCGAAAAAGGTGTACACCAAGGAATAGTAAGTACATATTCGATAACCAGACACTTAAATCAGTCACTATATATTTTTAAGATTGATGGTTACACCCTTAAAATGTATCGCTAGGAGTAAAGAAGAAAACCCATTATCATTTTGATATTAGCGTTTTAGTAAGGTAGATAAATCTTTATAGACCGTCTTCTTGTTCTTACTTGTGCTGTTCGATTCATAGTTTGCTAGTATCAATCCACTTAAGCATTTTTCTGTCAGAATTTGATCCAATATGTTTAATAGGTAGCTAACCCTCACATGGATGAACGTCAGTGGCTATAAATTCTCACCAGATCTTCAGGAATTACCTTCTGAAATCGTTTACTACTGACTACGTAATTACTGTTTGTATATGGGGTCACAAACTATAGTAAAATGGCAATATACTCTTTCGTGGTTTCATCCACTTTCTAGTTAAGACTAGTCTGTGGTCTAAACAACAAAATTCAAAAATCTCTGCAAAAAGCCCAAATTAACACTTTTAACAATTTTTGTAAAATAAAATGATATCTGGAATTCCACTTCTAGCTACTATCCAAAATATATGAATTAGTTGGTTTGTTCATATTCATCGTTTGGGTGACAAAAATGAAAGTAGCCATTTCACCAAAGTACAAACCCAACTCAACAAATTCGATTCACATATACATCAAGAACATAAATTCTGAGTAATTATATTTTTTCAAAATCGAAAAAACATGCTCAAACTAGTGACATATAATTGTAGATTAGAAACAGTAACCGGCTAGTGTAAACACTGAAACCAACTAAATGCATCAATAATTTACTACTTATATACATTAATTTTCTGCATAGTGATTCGAAGTGATTGATAAGGGATGACTGAATCATTAAGCTTTTGCATAGAAGCTCATGATATGATATTTTATTGTAGTAGGAAATTATTACATCTAGGTTCAACTTTTAAACATCAAGCTAATCAAGTTGAAAAGTGAATTAATCCAAGGAGAAGTTTTTGATTTCATTAGAAATAGATGATCATTACTTTCAACAGAACTACACATCATATATTCAATCCAAACCCCATTCTCAAAGAAAAAGAAAACGTAGTTTTACCCTAGCTAAAAATTAAAAAAGTCTTTATCTACTCCATTACAAATTTGTAGATTTCAGTAGATATTACTGAAATATCTTATGATACATCATTATATTTCTTTATTAAAGTTAATTAAAACTGATTTTATATATGATAAATGAAGTTACCTTCCAGATTAACCTTCTAAATGGAACTTTAAATATTTTATTTTACAGAAGATAAATAATTTCAATGATTGAGATCATGAGTTAGTTGAGGCTTGACCACCATGGAAAACCTGGAGGCACTGGATGGCCGTTTCGTCCTATTGTGGGACTCCTCAGTAGTGCGCATCCACGACCTCGCCCCCTGCGAGATTAATAAATAATTACACATGGGAAATTTCTCCTTAAGTCAATCATTATTTAGATATTCTGTTTAATGAAGAAATTGCTTCAAGATACATTTTTTTTCACAGTTTATATAAAGGTTGTTTTTCTAGAATATTAAAACTATTATTAAGATAATCATATGTGTATGATGTTTTTGTTCAGTGACAAATGTAATATACAATTCAGTTTAGTTAAATGTTGTCGTTTTACGGGTTCATATGTTGTGAATAAACTTGTTAGATAAATATGTCATTGAAATTGTTGCCAAGTTCATCCTTATCCACATCATCATCGTCATCATTATCGTTATCCATAATAGTAAACAGAAAAGAAATTTAATATATTTAAAGATAGTTAAACAAATAGAATTTTTCATTAAATGATACATTTGTAAAACATAATTGATGTTTTGTTTTACTTATGTTCCCTTCACTTCTTTTTTTATAGAT